TTACAAGACAGATAAACCGCAAAACATTAAGATGTCACACATATTTTTCAGCACATTCCTGAGTGCATTTGTGGACGTTGTGGTGAGCATTGTGATGTCCTTTGCTGCCCTTGCTGGAGCTCTTATCATCACCATTGGCTACCAAATATGGTGCAACACAATCATGCTGCGTTTCGAGGCGTGAGTATTGATGTTGCCCCCTTTTCCCAGCAGTGTTGGTACAGGATGATTGATAGGCATGAGATCCTACTGTGGAGATTGAATGATATTTTTGGTTGGAACTGATGTCAAATGAATGTTTGTTATTCTCTGTATTATTTATGGTTTTATATCTTACAAGTCAAGCAATTCACTTTAGTCTGCATTCATGCCATAGAGTTGCAACTTACCATATCTATTCTTAAAATTATTATGAATTTTATGTTGCCACTAGAATTTATGTTTATGTTAAAAAAAACAAAAAAACTCTCCATGATGAATTAGAATTGAAAACTATGTGGAAAAAAATATATATTTCTTGATTTTTGTATATATATAATAAAGTTTTACTCACCTCCATTAATACATCTATGACAGGAACTAGGAGCTTAAAAGGGATCAGAAACATGTATTTATTTGATCTTAATTTTGCAAACTTGTCCTTTTTTTTCAGATGTGAGGATGCCACACAAAATGACATTGATAGGAAGGACGAGATACACACCCGTATGTTCTACACCCACTTTGGAACAGCTCAGGTAAAGATAGAATTTGCATTATTTATATCTGCTACCCATGAATAGTAGCAAGTTCTGACTTTTTTTTTTATTGACTCCTTTCATTACAAGAGGGGTGTAACAAAAAAAAATTAAGAGTAGTCTGTTTGTTTGTTTTTTTAGCTTTTATAACCCAAAGTTTGAACTTGAGAATGGTAGATGGCATTTAAACCTTGACAGGGTAGGATGTTCTCTTTTCTGTACTTTAGAATCATAGTGTGTTTTATGGCTCTGATATTGCTAGTTCTCAAGGTACAGTATTCCAAGTTTATGTGTGTGTGTGTGTGTGTGTGTGTGTGTGTGTGTGTGTGTGTGTGTGTGTGTGTGTGTGTGTGTGTGTGTGTGTGTGTGTGTGTGTGTGTGTGTATGTGTATGTGTATGTGTATGTGTATGTGTATGTGTATGTGTATATATATATATATATATATATATATATATATATATATATATATATATATATATATATATATATATATACATATATATATATATATATATATATATATATATATATATATATATATATATATATACATATACATACACATATACATATATATATATATATATATATATATATATATATATATATATATATATATATATATATATATATATATATATATATATATATATATATATACAGATATATATATGTATACACACACACACACACACAGGAATAGATTCCTATGTGTGGAGATACTGTACCCCTGCTGCCTGCACTCTTCCAGGCATGGCTTACAGGTGGCACACTCCACCCTCGTTTACCAGTGGAAATAATGCAGTAGTCTACTGCATCAGGCTCCCTTTCCTAAAGGCCCACTGAGTCATGCTCCCACCCTGTCACCTGCCACTTAGTAACAATGTCCCATGGCATGATTCTCCTTGGCTCTCAACCAAATTTTTGCATGATGAGAGTTTCCCATCAGCTGCCCAGTGACTATATTTTTTCATGTTAAGACATTCCTGTCACCCAGATCCAGTGGGTTAAGCCCAATATGGGGTCAAGTGTACTCTCTGCTTATTAGGTTGAAATGCAGAAATTTAGTGTCACTTCCTATGTTACATACATATCATACTTCCTACATCTTACTCTGATCATTAAAAAGGTGCAGATCTGATATAAGAAAAAGAAAATAGAAATAGCTGTAACTCCTTGACACTACCTTTGGTATTTTTAGTTATGTCAAAAAGGATGTCATTTATTCCAGTTTAAGAGGAGTATTTATTTTATTATTTTACAAGTTTAATTAAACCTAATGTAATCTCTCTGTACCTTCAATGTTCACTGTAAGCCAATTTTTTTTTTTTTTTTTTTTTTTTCACAATCAATTGCATTACATAATTCCAGAATACAGTATTTTTCCTTTGATATATAAGATATACATACAGCAAAAATTGTTAGGAAAGATTGAAGGCTGCATGTTTCGTGTGAAGGTGGCAGACTTTCAGCACACAAGGTAATTTATGATATATTAGATCCCAAAATGCAGTGTGCATTGTACAAATACATCTGTTTTAGGAGAAAAAACATGCTGGTTAGCATTAACCCATTCACGCCGGGTGTCACGTATACGAGACATACCCATTGTGATTTTACTTGTTAAATTGTTTTTACACGTAGATGGCTACACTTGTACTTGTATTGCCTGTCTTGCACGCGTTTACCCTTTTCTTTAATTTACGAAAATATTTTACATTATCTTATTTTGTTGCTACTAATGTTTATAACATTATGGTAATTATAATGTTTATAATAAAAATAACCATCGATATTCATAGCACTAGTAAAAAATACATTTTCCCGCCAAATGAAATCAGGTAAGGCTGAGCCATCTATGTGTAGAGACATTTCACAAAAAGTATAAAAAATGAGCACAGCATTTTCCCCATTTTTTGTACATTTTCACCTGTCACAAATGGGTTAAATACACTTCTACACTTCTGTATAACATTGTGTACACATGTATATTTGACAAAAAAAAAAACATTTATAACAAGGGTAGACTTTATTCAATGATAGGATTATCTTGAATTTTGTAAGTCTTTTTTATTTTAAAATAAGATATGAATTTTGAGAAATTGTTAATAAGATCCGTCCTCTTTGCAGTTTGGAGCATGGACTCTGTGGGTTTGCTGGGTTGGACTGGCAATGTTCTCCTGGTTGAAGCTCTGGAAGTACCACCAGCAAGAAAACATCCGCGTCTCCATGGCCAGGGAGCGAGCCAGACTTGTCAGAGACAGACATGTTAGACTCACGGATTAAAAGAGCTCTTCTGTTGCACAAGAAAGTCATGTTTAGAGATAAGGAATAGAAGAGACAGTGTATGTAGAGAGAAGCATATATTTCCTTATTTGTTCACAGTGATGGAGTGAACCTCTCAAAGTGTAGCTGTCAGTATGGTAAAGTATTAGGTGTTCATTCAGGTAACTGACTGAACAGTTAAAGAAGGGTAGGCAGTCATTTCATGGATTTTCAGATTCCTCCACACGACAGTGTATCATAGCTAGAAGTACCATTTGAAATAGTTAACAAAGGCTCAGACATGGAAGATTATCGGGATATATACATATATTTTAATTAACCAGGGTAGTGGATGGAAAATGAATATATATTATTTTTTACTTGTGATGAGTAAGTGATCAATTTTAGTGCTTGTCTATTATTACCAGTAATGGAGTTTACCTACTTTGCCTTGTCCAATTAGAACAAGTTCATGCTCTTGATATGTTTTCAGCTTTTAAAAGAATAATAGAGCCATTATGTAACTAATAATTACAGCATACCACTACATATATTTCCAGCATAAAACCAGGTTACATATTACATTGCTTTGCTGAATTTTGTTTGACATATTACAGTTAAAAGTATCAAGTTTTGTAAAAAAAATCTTTATTAGTTGCATAAATAATCAGTGAATGTATCAGTTGATAATGAAAAGTTCCTAATTATTTTCCTGACTATGTAATGATAATGGAATTGAGAGTGCTCCGGTTTTCACTTGACTAAGGACCATTCTTGTAGATTTGCTCATGGATTTTAAGCAGTATTAGAACACCTCCTATGAAATGAGATACTGAAACTGTAGAAAATCTCAACAGTTAGATTGTATACGTCTTGCAAAGTGTCACAGGAAGATGGTAAGCTGCCTTTTCAACCATCCATTCCTTCCATTTGAGTTTTCTGTAAGAAGAGAACTAGAGACCCAGAGCTACTTGGTGTCCTGCCCATTGAAAAAATTAGCTTTTCAGGGCATGACCCTTTTGAAGAAGTTTGGTCTGTGATGGGAAATCCTGAGAGAAGATCCAAAGTATACAAGGTTTAGTTTCCGATTTCTCAGCATTTCTCTGATTTTGTCTTTATTAAAGGTGGTTGGAGGTGTTTGTGGGTGATTTTCTACTCTTCAAGAATCTTCCATACTTATATTATTATTTTTTTTAATCAGGTAATAAAGATAGTGAAAGTTATGCATGCATTGCACATGGGTCCTCTTTTAGAAAGCTTTATATTTTTGTCCATGGGAAATAGTGCCAAATTGTGCATGTTTAACTTTTTTTATGTCCTTGGTTCCTGCCATGTAGTCCTATTGTTTTTAATATGTTGTTGTTGTTTTTCTCACTCAAATTAAATGTATTCATCAACATGTAGTTTAGCAGTAATATCCAAGGAAAACTGTATGTTGTATTAACTTGTAAAGTCACTGCAACATTGAGCTACAAGTCCATGAGATGAAATGGGACAAAACATTTCCTGGTGTAATTTTCCCATTTTTCATGCTTATTTGCCATAGGTATACAAATACTTTCCAGGTTTATGGAATTATTTGACATTTAATAGTTATATAACCTAAAAATTTATATGAATTGAAAATGCCTCCATGAGGCTGAAGGGATAAATGAAGAAATTAGATTATCTACTTTCATTGAAAAAGGATACCCATATTGAAAGATATATGTAAATTGCACAGCAGAATCAGGTCAGATAGTATGAGTTTATAGAAATAAATAAAGGTATTTTATAAAAGGTTTTAAAGCAGTCATCTCAAACTCAGTTTTTAGTTTTGTCAATTGTCTGAGGGCTAAGTTGAACTAACCTATCAAAATCATTGTACTTGTATAAAAAGTTTTCCTTCTCCTTCTCCTCCTTCTCCTCCTTCTTCTTCTTCTTCTTCTTCTTCTTCTTCTTCTTCTTCTTCTTCTTCTTCTTCTTCTTCTTCTTCTTCTCCTCCTCCTCCTCCTCCTCCTCCTCCTCCTCCTCCTCCTCCTTCTTCTTCTTCTTCTTCTTCTTCTTCTTCTTCTTCTTCTTCTTCTTCTTCTTCTTCTCCTTCTCCTTCTCCTTCTCCTTCTCCTTCTCCTTCTCCTTCTCCTTCTCCTTCTCCTTCTCCTTCTCCTTCTCCTTCTCCTTCTCCTTCTCCTTCTCCTTCTCCTTCTCCTTCTCCTTCTCCTTCTCCTTCTCCTCCTCCTCCTCCTCCTCCTCCTCCTCCTTCTTCTTCTGCAGTGAGGCTTATCTTGTGTACATCAAGAGGACTCGGCTCCATATATATAGAAAAGAAGAATGAAGATGGTTATCACTATATTTTTGTGTTTCCTCTTCATTGTCTGTATTTTATATGTGTAAAAATAACCCTTGAAGTAATACTAGCTACTGCCTCATGTGGTAACATTTGAATATGTTGTAATTGTACTGTAAGCAGCTGTTCACATTATCAGATGACAAATTTTCTCTGCTCTTTTTTTTTTTCTGCTTTTTCTTTTTCTTTTTCTTTTTTCTTAAGGCATTACGTGTCTGTTCTTTCTTCCTTTCTTTCTTTCTTTCTTTCATTCGGTCAGAGCTTAAAATCTGACACCTCAGTTTTAAGGCAACTGGCAATAAACTAAACTAAGTTAATGTCAGCATGCAATAAACCCAAATGCCATAATAAAGTCTATTAAAGTCAGACAAATTGTAACAACAAAAATGTGATAGGCAAGTGTTTTGTAAATTGAAGTGTTTATCCTCAGCTCTCCTTTTTGGGGGGTAGGGGAGTTTAAAGTTTATTTAGAGGTGAATGTAATAAGCTTCTGTGTGGTCCATTTGTCCTCATTATTATACTAAATGCAAGATAATGTAAATAGGAAGCTAAAGTTTCAAAGCCTTTTTTTTCTCTTCTTCTTCTTTTTTTAAGTTTCCAAGCTTTTTTTTTCTCCTCTTTTTTTACCATTAAGAAAGTTTGATTTGTAAAAGGTAAATGCGTTATTGTTATTATTGTTGTATATGTAAACAAAAACAGATATTTGGTTTCAAATGGGTAAGGTTGTCTTCACTGTAAATAGAAAAAAAAAAACAAAAAAAGAAAATGGTCAGATAGTACTTTCTCTTCAGAAAAAAGGCCATTTTCTCAATAATATATTATCCACGAAAGAGATATGAATGGAGTATTATTTTAAAACTCCTTTGAAATATATAAGAAAAGTGCTTACAATTATACAGGTTTAGTTTATTTAACAAATGCAGATGATATGTTATTACAAAGTGTAAAAGGATTTTTGTGTGCTTCCTGCTTTCCCATTTTTTCTGTAAATTGCAATTAGAAATTAAAAAGTTCCATCCTTTGTGTCCCCCAGAATAAAATTTGACAAAATGCACTAGCATTTTTTTGATAATTAGTACATAGGTAATTTTGTAGTACAAAAGATTGTTTAGAAATCCAATCAGATTTAGAAAGTGGAAACTCAAAACGTTCAAATGTTGGTAATGAAGTTATCATTTTGTGATAAACAAAGCATCCCCCCCCCTTGTGCAGTCAACCATCCATGTTCTCGCTTACAAAAATTAATAAATGATTACTTGTCTTATTAGTGCTGGGTACATGCACTGTCCACTGTAGGTTTGTTCTGTCAGTTTTGTTTACACAAACTTGGCTTCACAAGTGCCTAGTCTAACCAACCTAATTCAGCCATTCCTTCAAATTTTTTAGAAAGGTTTTAATTCTAATACCAATATTATCATTGGTGATTGGTGATTCATTGTCTAAGCACTTGTGAAGGCTTCCATGTGAAAACACAAATGATAAATTAAATTATAGGAGACAGGGTATGTATAATGTCCTAGCATCAACAGATTAAGAAATATTTCATAAGTGATTTTACCTTCAGGTTCATTTTGAAAATAGCTTCTCGGTCCAGAATTAGAGATGCTAATAACAAGTCTGAAATAAGGAAAGTTCATGCATAAAAGTCATGAGGATTTGGGAGGCCAACAGCTGTGTGCTTATATTATGCCACATGTTTAATTACAGAAAAATAAATAGTATTGAACAATTGCTGCTGATGGCAGATTTGTTTCATAATTTTATTGAGCATTGATATTTTGCATTAGGTATGTAACTGAAAAACAGTTAACATTTACATGCATATAGAGAAGCTAAACAAGCAGTTGCTTTCATATCTAATGTCAAATTCCAAGCAAAGCCAATTTTTTTTAGTATGTCACAAATGTAATTATGCTCATTTTTTATTGAGGCACTTGACAGTATGGTGACAACAGAGCTGACAGATTGGTGATGACAATTATTTGGTAACTGATGGGTTTGCGCACCCAACCAATTATCACCAACCACTCAAATGTTCTTTTCTTCAGTAAAAAATGGAGTGTAATATGAATTTAGTGCCTTTCTTGGGAAATAAATTTTGTATTAAATAAACTCAAGAGTTAAGATCTTCAATTGCAACTTTATTTGCTAAAGGTATTGATAAATTTGACAGAGATGCATGTGTGAATGAGAGATTATATGTATGCCTGTGTATAAATTGCAGTTATGTACTGGGAACGCTTTATAATACGAGTATATATCCTGGGCAAGGGTTAATTTTTAATGCCAATGCATTTGATATACTGGGTGGTATCTTAGGGAATGTAGATTATGGAAATATTCACAGTAATCTCTATTTTATAAAAAATAGATCATTATGCTCTCTGTAAGGAAGCTAGCAGCTAGTGTATTATTGCACCCTTTTTGAGTAGCAGAAAATGTTAGTCTTGTCCCTTTGATGTCAGCAATAAATAGAGAGTGTGTGTAATATTTTATTTTCCTTCTAAATATTCCTAGAGTATAAGTATGGAGTGATCTTGTATTAAATCTAAAGAAAAAATATTAAGTGATGTCAGAGGCAGGAAAGCCATTGACTAAGCAGCTGATTTAGGTGTGGAATTGGTTGTTTAACCAGTACCTTTCCCACCTCTGATAGCCCTTATCGGCCATGCCAGCCAATCAGACCTGTTTGTCTGGACATGCTAATCAGGCCCATCCACAGAATTGAGCAGTGTTATACTTTTAGCCATCCATGTGATATTACTTATTTATTGCCACGTCAATATCTAAGGTCACTGGTGGCTTATTCAAAATATAGCAATAGAGTGGATCTTGGAGGTGAGGTCCCCAGATAAGGAAGGTTTTTAATTCATAAAACTATGTTTGTGGATTTCCTGAGTGGTTAATAGTGAAAACAAATGTGTCATACATCAAAGGTCATAAGCATTTTGATAAAGTAAAGGGGGAAAGGGTAAAAATGACTTAATGATTCCAATAAGTGGAAGAAGAAGGGTTGAAGAAGATAAGAGGAAAGGAGAAGAGAAGCCTAAGCAAAATTCGTCGAGGTGAGAGTCAAGGTCCAAGGCCGAGCGATTCCCTACACTGGACCTCAGTCATGATCCAAAGCCAATGCACAGGAAGCAAGACATTGGGGGGGGGGGGGGGGGATCCATATGATATTTATTTGCTGAAAATTTTCTGCCACATCAACATCTATGGTCAATAGCAGCTTATACAAAATATAGCAACTGGGTAAGATTTTGGGATAAAATCCCCAGGTTAAGTTTTTTGGTTCAGTAAGGGAATGTTTGGGGATTTTCAGTATGGTCAATGGTCAAATCAAACAAATGTACCAGACATCAAAAGTTACACAGAATTAAGGTAAAGTATTGTAGCAAAAAGGGGTTAACAATTTGGATAAGTGGTCAGAAGAAAGGGATGAAGAGAAGAAAAGACCCTGCAGAATTAGTTGAGGCAAAGGCTGAGGGCCAAAGAAGGGGTAGGCCTCAGTCTCTGCCTTGTAAGCCCGCCAAGGCACCAATCAGCAGGGGATTGGGGGATCCATATGACATTTTATTTTATTCATTGAAAATTTTCTGCAGCATCAATATCTAAGGTCCTTAACAGATGCTATACGACATCAAAGGTCATATGGCACTATGGTAAAGTATAGTAGTGAAAAGGGTTAGGAACGAGTTAATGATTGAGCCACACTCCCCATCTCCCGAGCTCCCCGCAACAACGAGCAAGAGACTTGGGGGATCCATATGATAGAACACTGTTGGCTGGGCGGTTTCAGTCATCATGCTGTGTGTGTGATAATTTATACAGATGTTTACAAAGCATAGCCAGGCAGGAGTGAGAGGTGCCTAATATGGTCTTGTGCAGTAAAATAAGTACACTGAGCAACGGATTAGTGATAAAAAGGATCTAGAGAGTCCATTTGTAATGCTACATGCCTGTCTAGTTAACTGGCTCACTTACACCTGTAGATACTGATCATGTGGATAGGACTCTACCATCACATTTATTGGTGATAATGTGTTTTTTAGAGGTGAATGAAATTTGATAGTATAAAGTCAGGACAGTCAGGACAATATAAGACAATGTCTGTTGCATCTCAAAAATGAAAAAGAAAAGAAAAAAGAAAAAAAAAAATTGAAGATGATTTACCCAAGTGCATTGTTATCTCAGGCGCACACACGAGAAGTTTTCTGTATACACAGTGACTTTTGCGTGTATATGACTCGAGTCTATTGACACTTAACAGTAATAACTTTCTTCAGAAATTTATGAGCAAGACGTTTTCAATTTCTTCTCATTTTTTAATTCATTAATCCAATGCACAATTTTTTCCAGTATATATAATATTTTAGTCACTTTGATTCCTGCATTTATATATTTTTTAGTGTTGCTGGGAAGATCTGGAAACTGGCACCATGTTTTTTTTTACTAAAAGCAAACACATACTGATAAAAGAAGATAGTAATTTTATGCTTTACTATTACTATGTTAACTTTAGATTGTCTTTTACATCTTAGTTAAGCTGTCTGCAATATGGATAATATGAGGCGTTTGCTTTATCCTATACATAATTTTTTCCCTTGAACAGAAAATTATTAAATTTTCATATTAATCTATATCTATAAGAATTAGAGCACATACTGTCTTATGGTGGAGGGCCCAGGACTATAGCTGCAGTGATCAGTAAGACTGATGGCCGACCCATACTTTATTCAGGCACAGGGTAATTTTCTCATACTCTGAACATAGGCCAAGCAAGCAAAAGGTTTATGAAAATCTGCCTATGAGTGCACACACATTTTCTACCGATTTTAAGGCCTTTCTCAGAAAATTGTCATCCACCCAACAAAAATTATATCCATCTATCTATCTATATATACATGTATAAATTTTAAGAATAAAAGCTTGACTAAACTATTAAATCTTTTAATACAAGACTAATTTATTTTCAGATTAAGAATCGCTCTCTCTCTCTGGAAGAAAACAATAAAAAAAACTTTGTTTTACTTGTAAAATGTTCGTTTAACTTGTATTCTTGTGTATAACTGATACTTGTATAACTTGTATTCTGGTTAACTACAGATAAAGGGCCACCTGCCTTATTTGCAATGGAGTTCTATCACCAAGGAAAACAAGAAACAAAAACATACATTTACACTTTTATTTTCCAATTATGTATCATAAGAACTCCTCATACTTGGACTCTCAAACACTGTATGTACATAATAAGTCAAGAGATGAAAAATAAAATTACCTGTCTCAATTTACATTTAACTTACACTCTTATCTAAAATCAAAGCGTCTTCAGAGGGTCTTAGTGCTCTTCTTCTTCGTATCCGTCGGGAAGAGCATTAGCATGAGAATTGTGGAAGAGTGACTTCTGGCCTTCTCCCCATGGGAATCGCTAAAATGTAAAAAAATATATACATATCAGTAAATATGTACAAGTGACCAAAAGGTGCACCAAGGCCCACCATATATATAGTAACTGTTACAGTAACTATCCTAAAATCATAAACTATATTCTATACAGATGCCATGGCCATAAACTTTGAATCTGGGTAACTATACTGATGCCAGAGCCACAAACTTTGAATTTGAAGTCTCAATAACCAGCCACTGCCTACCACAACCATTACCGAGGAACCAGTCAAGGCTAACAGGTGCTGATTAATCAAAAAATTAACTAGTGACATGTACACAATATGATGCACAGAAGATAGCATAACCAACCACATTTAATACCCCTTAAGCATAATATAAGTGATGCTGCCAGTGGCCTAGGAGAGTCAAAGAAATTATAACTCAAATTATTTACTACTAGAAGTTTTTTTGTTTTTTTTCATTCATTGTTTCTTGGATTGGGATGAAATATGGGGAAGGGTTAAAATTAATACTTTTGCCTTTTCCTCAAGTGGCTCGGCATGTATACTGTTCATTGTACAATAATTTTTTTGAGGAACTTCAACTTCATTACAAAGGAGATACCAGTATCCACAAGCTGATCTTTCTTCAATATCACACTCAACTACTGAAAACTTGTATGAGATAAATAACCTACCTTGGTTCGGAGTCGCAGGTGTTCATAGGCAATGAATTCTGGCCGGCCGTGTTCGCCTGACATGAAAGCATTCACCATGCAAAGTGCCACAGCTGGAAGGGCAACCAAATAGGACAGCATCTTCCACTGCTTCGTGCCACCTGTTATCAAAGAAAAAATCTTGGTATTAGATGCTTAGGGTACTATTCAGGAGCATCAGTGGGGTGGGGCAGGAGGGGGGATTTCCCACTAAGCATTCAAAGGACACCTTCAAATGAGCTAAACATTATGGGTAATATATTTTTCAAATTTGTCCAAAATATTTGGGGGAATTATTGTGCAATTATATCACATAAATAAATCACACCTACAGCTTGTCACCTTTGACCTGCATTTTAAATTACATCATGATATAGCTGAGAGTAAATTCATATTAAAAAAAAAACAGCACAAAATAATTTGAAATGACAACATTCCTCATTAAGCTAATGGCATTATTCATTGAAAAATAAAATAAGTGGCACTATGAAAGGAAATTAATTGCGCGGCTATATGCCATGTTGATAGCAAAACTAAGCAAAAACCCTACCTACTCCATGGGATCTATCCTAACAACTCCTGATTGCCATACTTCTCTAGGTGAATTCCCTGGACCTAAATGTAGGAACTCTATAAAATACAAACTTTTGCCATCGATTTTTGCTTTTCTGTCAGAATTTGAGGCTTTCTGCAAATATTGCATGCAAACAGAAGGCCTTCCTGATGAAGACAGTTGCAACTACTTCTGTCTGTGTAATTTCCTTCTTGATCTTGTGCTAAGGACTTTCTATATAGCTAGAATATTTTTTGATTGATAAATTACATAGAATAAATGAAAGTAAACACACAAATTTTATAGAGAATATTTTTATATACAATATACTTAATTGCATATTTTTAATAACAAAATATGTATAAGAATCCTTGTGTCATTCCTAGGACCTCACTTGGAAGACACCATGTTTGTTTACAAGGGCATGGTTTTTACTGACTCAGTAGTGTGATTAGGACAGTTCATATGCATATGAATATGTCTGTGTCTGTGTCAAACCTTTCATTACCCCAAAAGTCTTCAGAATGAAGGAGGTAAACAGGTAATTCTACTCAGAAAAAGAGAGCTGACCTTTTTGTTATCTTTTTTGTAGCATTTACAGGTTTATTCCAAAAATACGAGAAACAGGTTAGGAAATGTATATAAATATATATTTTGTAGTAAAATGGTTAGTAATAGCACAAAGAGCAAAACAATACGACTATATAAATGTAAGTAAAACAACTTCTGGTAACAAATATCGAAGGTAGAAAATACAATCTTTTTTTTTTTTTTTTTGTCTAACTCCACAAACATAAACAAAAATAGCACATACATTCGTGTGTGTGTGTGTGTGTTGTTTATATGTTATAATTCCTTAATATATACATTTTATCCATATAATTTTGCGTTTCCTATTGCATTGTTAAACATTTAATGTAAGTACATGGCGTGCTTTTTCCCAACACATTATATTTCGGGGTAGCCAATGGCCCGGTGGTCTATTTGACACTTCTATGAAACATGACCTCGGTGAAAGAAGAAGAAAACTGTCCAAAAGAAGCGCGTGTTGATTATGACACTGGGATAATAAATTACTCTAACAAAGTAATGGGAAACACCAAATTCAGTTTTGATTATCTGGTGCATCACGGTATACTGAAAGATACTCTGCTGTGTAAATAGTGTAGTGAACTGTGTTGGCTTTAATGTGACTAAGTGTCAAACTCATTAGTGAATAAAAATCGAAAAGGCCTAATTTTCAAGTCAGTTATAAAAACACAGACACACAATAGCCACTTATATACAGAAACAAATTTGTTATTTGTAAATATATATCCATGTGAATGTTTACCCAGCAGTATATAAAAGACAAAATAATAGGTATTAGTGACAAAACTATCTGGGTTAATGTTACCGAGAGCGACGCACGCAGATAGAGCAAAATGAACATTGCCATCTTGTAGAGCATCAAAAATAGAGTAGGAATCAATACATCTAAAACTGCAGCGGCCTCATATTTACCGGGAAATGACAAAAATAGTCCCCATCCATGTTTACCTTGCCAGGACCAAAACAAAAGTGACGCGTAACTCATTATTGCGATCTATCAAGTAGTCCATGTATTACTACGCGCTTGTGAAAACGACTATTTTGTAATTACCAGTGTCTGTTTTTCCGAATCCATGCATTTAATGAATTCTTTTACTTTTATTATACTTCTTTTACGTGTTTCGGTATTATTTACACTATTTTGCACAATATCCCTGTGCACATGTGCGTTTTTCCAACGGGAGATTTGACAGTCTGTCCGCCGCCATTCGTCCCGAAACACAGGTGGGAAGTGTCACATTTTAGGTGTGTTGTGTCGATTCTGGGTCATTTTTAAAGCCATATAGTGGATATATAGAACCAATAGATATTAGTGTCTATCTCAGCCTGATACATGAGCCCAATAAGTGCCCCAATTGTCGAAAAAAGTGATTAGAAACCAAGGAATTCGGACCAAAGACGGAAGCCAAGAAAAGTTCGGTCTTTCGCTAAATAAAGGTATGTGGTTTTACCCTGGGGGTTCAGAGGACAGAGCCCCTTGGCTAGGGAATATATAGATCGTATTTAATTGAAACCACGGGGGTCCAGGGGGCTTTGCCCCCTGGCTAGGCGCATATAGTACTACGGGGGTCCAGGCGCATATAATCAGGCTAGGCTAGGTTAGGTTAAGCTAGGTTTATATATTACTAGGGGGGCCCAGGGGGCGTAGCCCCCTGGCTAGGCGCATTTAATACTACGGGGGTCCAGGGGGCAGAGCCCCCTGGCTAAGGAATATATAGATCGTAGTGTATAAATCCCACAGGGTTAGGTTAGGTTGGTTTATTGGTTAGGACGTATTGTACGATTACCACAGGGGATCTGGATTATCTGAAATCCCGTAGATTTTTACCGATGACTGGGTTTGATTCCCGTAGAGTTTTTCGAAAATTGGCGCGCCGGTCCGTAGAGTTTCAAAGGTGGCGGGGATGTCCGTAGAGTTTCCACAAGCTGATTTTCATCGTTTTTTGTGCTTTTCGGGACGGAAATTTGGCTCAAGTTTTCGAAAAATCGACTTTTTTACGTTTCTTAAATCACTTTCCTCGATTTCTGCAGGTTTCTATCGACATCCAGCGCCATCCATTATCCCCCCCCCCCCTCTTCAACCCCGGTTCCCCACGCATCCCCCAAGATCGTTGGGTAGAGGAAACTTCAAAAAAATCTCATTTTGAAACTCAGTCTCTGAGAGGGGGCGTCGCTCTCGGTAACAATTACCACTATCTGCGACTGGTCCTCCTTTTGCAGAGATGTACTAATAATATGGTATGGAACTAGTGGAAAAGATATAATTGGTGGAACTGGGAGGTGGAGCCCTTGATAGGTAAATACCCCAATGGGGGGGGGGGGGGCCCAGGGCAGAGCATCCGATGGGTAAATACCCCAATGGTACCCCAATGGGGGGGGGGGTCCAGGGCAGAGCATCCGATGGGTAAATACCCCAATGGGGGGGGGGGGGGTCCAGGGCAGAGCATCCAATGGGTAAATACCCCAATGGTGGGGGTAGGCGAGGTTGCTTGGTTAAAGCATTTTGTGTATAAACTTGACTTTACAGCTTGATAATGAGGTGTATTTCTGTAGATTTTAATGAACATGGGTGGGTCTGTCTGCAGCCTTTCTAAAAGGTAGCATTATGAGCCGCAGAGCTTTTGAAGCTGGCGTGTCTGGCCGTATATTTTCAGTGTTGGTGGGCATTCCTGTAAAGTCTCTTAAGCTAATTTTAATGATTTTCTTTTGTTGTTTTATGCATCACTGCATGTTATTTACTATATTCAAGCCTGTTTTATCCCCATAATTTTCCTGATACACTTCATGCCCTCCCCTACTATTGGGACTTAACAAATCAAGATTGTTAGCGGAATATGGATTTCCCCCAACCAAAAATGGCATACATCTATAGTATACCTATAATCATCGCCAATTATCATCAAATAAACATGTTATCGTGAAATACATATTTAGAAAGAATTACCGCATGTTCCAATCAATATCACTAAAGGGGAAGCCACATCCCAGCTGAAGGCAAGTAATATGGTTTCTAAAACATAGCAGACCACCAACATACATATCTAGTAAGATAAATTTCTCAAATATAATACTAGGGTAAATTTTCACAATACCTTTGTATAACTGATTGCAACAATTTTGGTATTGATGGATTCCTTTCACCCTCTAGTAGAAATCTGTAGAAATTATGCTGTGGAACCACCCATGCTGAATAGAGGGGGCTGCAACCGCTGTACCCTACCCCCCCAACCCTTCTGGGATTTTTACACTACCGTCTATATAATGCCTTTTCTTCGCTTCTGTCTATGGTCAGAATTCCTTAGTCTCTAATATTTTTTTTAGGCATTTGGGGAACTTTGTGGGCTCTGGCTAAGATAGATACTAATGTCTATTTGTTCTGTATATCCATTATAAGGCTTTAAAATTACCCGGAATTGATGCAACACTTAAAATGAAACATTTCTCACTGGCGTTTCTCAACGAATGGCATCGCACAGCCTGTCAACTCTCTTGGTGGCAAACCGCAGATGCACAGACAGTTTTTGCAAATTACTCAACTATGTAGAAGAATTATAATAAAAGTAAAAGAATTCATTAAATATATGAATTCGGAAAAACAGATGCTGGTAATTTAAAAAATAACTGTTCTCACGGACTACTTGACAGATCGCAGTAATGAGTTACACGACATATGAAAGAGTGCCGATTTATTTATATTTTTATTATTTTTTTATTTTTTGACAATTTGATGCTTTAATTCAAAATAACATTCTTGAGGCAAATTTGGATTTCGACTTCGAGGAATTTGAATTTTAGGGATAATTTATGTGTATAGTCATTAGGAGGCGATGGGCTGCTTGGGGCAGAGGGGAGAGATTATTGATTGGAGTGGGATGGGGGGGGGCCATTTATGGGTGCTAATGACGGTCATACCATGGAATACTAGAGTAACCTGTGTATTCTGTCTTCCATTAGGAGGGAGAGGGGAAGAGGGAAAGGAGAGAGGGGAGAGGAGAGAGGAGAGAGGAGAGAGGGGAGAGGAGAGAGGAGAGAGGAGAGAGGAGAGAGGAGAGAGGAGAGAGGAGAGAGGAGAGAGGAGAGAGGAGAGAGGAGAGAGGAGAGAGGAGAGAGGAGAGAGGGGAGAGGGGAGAGGGGAGAGGGGAGAGGGGAGAGGGGAGAGGGAGAGGAGAGAGGGGAGAGGGGAGAGGGGAGAGGAGAGAGGAGAGAGGAGAGAGGGGAGAGGGGAGAGGGGAGAGGGGAGAGGGGAGAGGAGAGAGGAGAGAGGAGAGAGGAGAGAGGAGGGGAGAGGGGAGAGGGGAGAGGAGAGAAGGATAGGGAGAGGGGTCACATTACGCAATTCAGAGACTGATTCTGTGTATATTATTTATATTTTACCTGCAATTTCCCTGGTACATTCCCTGCCCTCCCCAGCTATCTGGGCACCGATTGTCACTAAATGGGGTTTCCGCGGCATCAATTCGATATTAATAAATGACCCACCGCTCCCAAAATCGTCGCGATTAGCTAGACGAAGGTATTTTGAAAAATTCTGATACTATCTCATCAAGGACATGAAAAGGAGGTGAATAGGGTTGTATGAGGCAGAGAGAGCACACACAGCTACGAAAGAAGCCCTACCATTCCCTAAATCTTTTAAGACTGGACCACATCAGCGCTCCAGGAACAAATCCTTCGCAAAACATTAAAACAAAAAACAAAAACATGTTCGTGAATCGGAATAAATCGAGGACGTTTCGAAAGGCAAGTCGCCGGTTTCTCGAATTCCGTCTTAACTCCCTCCTTTCTCTCGGACCTTTCCCCACCCAAAAAAGCGACGCATGGGTGTATTAACTTACCGTCGTGGGCTGCGCCGCCTCCAGCAGCAGAGGCATTGCGGAGGGAGGTGGAAAAAGCGCGGCGGGCGAGAGTGGCGAGAGAGGCGGCCATTTTCCTCGCGATCAGCTGGTGGAGTGAGGCCGGAGCCGGAGTCAAGCGAGGTCTCTGGCCTACCTAAATATAGCTCTTTAAAAATTGTATTGGGAATTTAGGTTGTATTTTAGGATTGTAAAAGACATATTTATTGTTTTTTGTCTGAACAGTGTCAGAATCGTTTTTTTGGTGAGTGTTTTTTTATTGACCGATAAAATTATCTCCTTTGATGTCAGCAAAATACGCAATCACGAACATAAAATAACAGTATGAAATAAATACAAGAACATACCCACATATAGATATACAAGCATATTTATAACCACATCATATATATTTTCTCAACAGAAACAGTTAATTTGTCTCAAAGTCAATAATTTTATGTGCTACTAAACTATTTAGTTATCCCTAAATACCTTTACAACTCCATTTTCTTTAATTACCACCGTCTTCTTTCACATAAAACAATTTATTTAAAAATTATTTTAGTTTTTTGTTTACGATATATTTTGGTTTAATATATACATATTCGTTTATATTTTAGTTTAATATATACATATTCGTTTATATTTTGGTTTAATATATACATATTCGTTTATATTTTGGTTTAATATATACATATTCGTTTATATTTTTGTTTAATATATACATATTCGTTTATATTTAAGATATATATCATAATGTTCAAGATATATCCAAGTTTCATATAAGTTAAGACAGGGGATTAAACTGCATACAGTTTATTGCTATGTATGTATCCCTCTTTTCAATGCTATATGGATATGTAATCTATATTGAGATGTTTCGGGGATTAAACTGCATACAGTTTATTGCTATATATTAATCCCCCTTTTCAATGCTATAGGAAAATCTAGTCTATATTGAGATGTTTCGGTATAATACAAGGAATCGCCTATTATAAAAAAAAAAAAAAAAAAACACTTTAGCCGAGCCTTAATGCAACCAAACCGAGCCTCTAAAGCAGTCTTGAAAGGCTTTAACTAACGAGTAGCATATTTAATGTATGAGACCTTGATAGACACAGAAGTGTAGTGTAAATCGTGGCAAAAAAACATTTGCACTTATAGACAGTCAAAAAGCAAATTATGCTATCTATTTTTTACCGTCTTCATAAAAAAGAGAACAAAGACTATGGACGAATGTAGAATCGCATTATTTTATTATTATTATTATTATTATTATTATCATTATTATTATTATTATTATTATTATTATTATTATTATTATTATTATTATTATTATTATTATTATTATTATTATCATCATCATTATTATTATTATTATTATTATTATTATTATTATTATTTTTATTATTATCATCATCATCATTATTATTATTATTATTATTATTATTATTATTATTATTATTATTATTATTACTTTTTCACACTTTGTATCTGGCTGTTCTTATTGCCTATCTATGCTGATAGTCAATAATTTTAGGTGCTACTAGATTATTTAGTTATCCCTAATTACCTTTACAACTACATTTTCTTTAATTACCTTCGTTTTCTTTCACGTAAAACAATTTATTAAAAAAATATTTTATGTTCATGTTTAAGATATATTTAGGATTAACATATATATATATATATATATATATATATATATATATATATATATATATATATATATATATATATATATATATATATATATATATATATATTCGTTTATGTTTAAGAGATAAATCGTAATGTTTAAGATATACCCAAGTTTCATATAGGTCAAGACAGGGGATTAAACCGCATACATTTTATTGCTATGTATGTATCCCTCTTTTCAATGCTATATGGATATGTAATCTATATTGAGATGTTTCGGTATAATACTGGGAATCACCTTTTTATAAAAGCACTTTAGCCGAGCCTTAATGCAAATAAACCGAGTCTTTAAAGCAATCTTGAATAGCTTTAACTAACGAGTAGCATATTAAGTATATGAGACCTTAATTGTATACAAATCGTGGCAAAAACACAAAAGCAAATTATGCTATCTATTTTTTTACCCTCTTCATAAAAAAACAAAGACTATGGACGAATATAGAATCGTATTATTATTATTATTATTATTATTATTATTATTATTATTATTGTTGTTGATCATTATTATGATCGATATTTTTATAATTATCATGATCATCATTATTAGTATTTCTATTGTTATCATTATCATTATTATTATTATCACTATTGCTATTACCATTATCATAAACACTCATTGTCATTATCATAATGTTATAAGTATTATCAATATAATTGTGATTATAATTATTATTATCATTATTACTATTATCATCATTATTACTTTTATTGAATATGCGAAAGTGTTGCAAAAAGAAAACGAAAAAAGTGAAATCAACAACCTTTCAATGTCTATCTATTTAGTATATTTTTATTTCGAAAATGCGAATAAAGTCATCTTGTCAGAGTTAATTTACTGTCGCTTCCAAATATGAATGTTTTCACTTACTCTGAACTATTTTTAACAGACAT